GAATACTAACTAAAGCTTGTTCAGTGACCTTTAGTTAAAGTGCCTCTGCTGCCATTTTGAAGCATGGGACACTGAATAGATGTTATGGCGAGGCTGCTGGAGCATGCTAATCGGCATGTTCCAGCCACCTCAGTCGAGTCTACTCTGACACACACTAATTGGAACGTGTTAGGCACGTGTATAGGTGCTCGCGGTGTCTGCATTGAATAACTATGGCTTTAAAATGAAGAGATCACAACTAGGGACCTGGGATGATGGTCTGGGAAAAAGATAGCTGTGCAGGGAAGGGGATCCATCTGAAGATTTAGGAGAGTATCTCTACATCATTGGGGATGTTTGGTGAGGAAGGCTTTAAACTAGGTTTTGTGGGGAATGATGACAAAAATATTGACTGAAGTGCAATTAGGATCTAAGGATTAAGGCTGGGCAAAGAGGCTTAGCTGTTGAAAGAAGAGGGAAGACTAATGGGGTTAAAATGAGAGGGAGAAAAAACATCAGGAAAATCTGCAAAGTAGCTTTCATTCCTATATTCTAAAAAAAACATGGGGATTGAGCAGAATGAACTGGAAGTTATATTGCCTGGAGTAGGTGTCGTGGGATAACTCACATGGTTAGAATGTCCATACTTGAGGGGGTATAGTTTGATTTAGAGGGACTGGTTTGAGGGGTTAAAAAGAGGAGATATTGCACTGTTTTGTCCAGAATGCATGTGCTTGCTCTGATGTCCTAGGGGAAATCAGCAAGAGAGCTGTTGAGTGCATGTGGGTGAAGATTAAAGGGTAACAAAAAATACCCTGGGTTGACTATAGACCACCAAATCAGGAAGGACTGAATAAGGCATTCTTCAAACAAAATATCTGTAAATATGTAAATTAGTAATAATGGGGCATTTAACTTTCCTGATACCTGTTGGAAGAAAGATACAGAAAAACATACAATTTTTAACAAGTTCTTAATCTACACAACAACATTGGTTTAGGAAACTTCCTAACATTACAAACAGTAGGGCAGTGGAGTAAGTTGTCTAGAGAAGTTGTATAGGTTTTCAAGAACAGACTGAATGGGCACCTGGGTGGGATGGTACAGGAACAGCATGTCTGGTGGCTGTTACGACTCAGGAAAGAGACCTTGAAATCATTATACAGATGGCTCTCTAAAAGCGTCAGCTCGATTTATATAGTAGTACCTTAAAAAAAAAAAAAAAAGCCAGTAACCTGTTGAGCATTGTTAAGAAGGGAACAGAAGACAAAATGGAGAACATCATCATGCCACTACACAAATCTATAAATGCACCTACACTTTGGCTACTGTGTGCAGTTCTGGACCCCACATCTCCAAAAGGATGTAGTGGAATTGGGAAAGGTACAGAGAAGGTCTGCCAGAATGATCGGGGCACGGAGCAATGGCCATACCAGGGAAGGGTAAAAAAGCCAGGACTCTTCAGTTTGGAAAGGAGAAGGCTGAAGGGGGATATGATAGCAGTCTATAAAATCATGAAGCATGTGGACCAAGTGGACAGAGAACTGTTATTCACCAAGTCCCACAATATTAAGGGGCACCTGCTGACATGAGTGTGTGACAGGTTTAAAGCTAACGTGATAAAGTACTTTTTCAAGCAACACATAGTTAACTTGTGGAATTCATTGCCACAGGAGGTGGTAGAGACAGACACTTCACTAAAATTCAGAGGGACAAGACATTCCTGGATCATAGCTCTGTTAATAGCTGTTGATCAGAATGGTTGGAGATGTTTCCTCTGGCACCTCTAAACCAGTAATGGTGGATGTCAGGGAGGGTATTGAATAGGGAATGGAACATTCTAGATCTGTTAGGCTCACGGTTCTCTCTCTACCATCCACTTCTGGATCCTGGGCTAGATGGGCCATTGGTCCGACTCAGAATGGCACTTATGCTCTTAGGTTTGTCCAACATCTGTGCAGGGGTCGGGCAAGATGACCCTTGTTCCTTCCAGCCCTATGATTCTAAGAAGTCACCCTCTTATCACCCCAGAGACGCTAAGAACACGGGGGATGACGTGCCCTCTGACTTGGAGAGAATAGCGTGTGGAAAATCTTGCATTAAGCAGTCTGTGCAATTTCTATCAGAGTGAAGACTTAATCTGGCATTGGTGACAATGGTGCCATCCACTAGGGATGGCAAGCAACTTAATTTTTTCCCCCTCTTCTCTTCCCCCAAGACCGACTTCGAGACACACTGATCCATGAGGTTTGCCACGCAGCCACCTGGATTATCAATGGAATACGAGATGGACATGGACCAATTTGGAGATTTTACGCTAAGAAATCAACTGTAATTCATCCAGAGCTGCCAATGGTGACACGATGCCACAGCTATGAGATTAAATACAAATTCACTTATGAGTGTTCTGTGTGCAAAGCCACGTGAGTAGTCATTGTTTGCTCCTGTTTGCCTGGGATCCTCTACTAACTTTCTTCACCTCCCCAATCCAACAACTAACTAAATGTCTATTTTAAAACTAGATCTTTTTACATTATTAGCAGTTGGCACTGGAATGCACTGAATTTGTCTGTATTACATCACCTTCTTTGTCCTAAAACCATAAAGAGCCTCGCACTGATCCCCTACCAATCTCTCTTCCAGTTTCCTTACCAGACTTCAATTTCCCTGCTGTTTATTATTTATCATCATGGTTGTTGTTGTTCTTATTAACATCATAATTACTTAATGGCTTCTTTGAGAACAAAATGTTGGGGGGAGGCAAGACAAGATATTTAAGGGGAGCAATGTGGACCTCACTGAGTTTTTGAAGACTTGTAGATAACTCCCAGAAGGGACCATTTCAGTTCCATGGTCTATGTTAATTCACTTCTTTAGTCTATGTTAATCAAAATATTGCCTACTGATTTCTGCATCCAGTTTAGAATAGCAACCAAGTGGGACCAAACTTGCTGGAAATGAGTTCCTCTTGGCCACCATTTATTGATTTAAAATTTTGCAGCTCTGTCTAAAAACGCAACACTCGGCCAGTTTCAAAATAGTTACGTTAATTTTGTGCAGTACTGTTCTCCACGGGAGCAGAGATTTTTCTTTTGGGTGTTCAGACTTTCCATTTTGCTTAGATCTTAAGATCCAGATATCTTCTCCAGGACCCACCTCCCACAGACAAAGTACTATTAGGAAGGTATTATGGTAGCTAGATACAAACTGAAGTTTTTTATGTTGCCACAAGGCAAAGGGTGTCACTTGAGTTTCCAACTCTAACAGAACAATGTTACCGAAGGAGTTACTGATCACTTGCAAGGTTGTGTAGACTTGCTGGTGAGAGACTACTGTAGCTATGTGAAGAGCTTGTATATAACTTGTAAGTGGCACTCTGCCTCCTCTGTGCTTGGTGGTAGTGGATGGGGATTATGGTTATGCATCAAGATTTTATTGTTGTTGTAGTTGCTAACAGGGCTTGTCAGAGAGAACCCATATGACCTTTTTTAGCATATGACAGTAGTTTTTGAAATTTAAAGAGAGGAAAAAACCCGGTGCGGGGGGAGGGAGGGGTTACAGTGAATTGTTAAGCTGAATATGAGCCAAAAATGTCCCTTGTTGCAAAGAAGGCTAACGGCATACTGTAGGGGTGCACCGATAAAGAATTTTTGGGCCGATACCAATGGCTGCCTGGCTGTGCACGCACTGCAGCTGTGCACGTGCACGCACACGGCATTTATTGGTGGCATTACCGACCACATCAGCCAAAAAAATACGATTGTGAATAATGTCCATTTTACTTTTATCAGTGCCAATATGCATTGGTAGGAACGTTGCCAGCAGATTGAGGGAGGTGATTCTTCCCCTCTATTCTGCACTGCTGAGGACACATCTGGAGTCCTGTGTCCAATGAGGGGCACCCTGCAACAGAAAAGGATGTGGACAAATTGGACAGAGTCCAGCAGAGGGCAATGAAAATAGCGAGGGGGCTATGACTTGTGAGACAAGGCTGAGGGCCTATATACCCTTGATGCTGTGCCACACTGCACCATCCCTGGGTGGGCACAGAACACAAGCTGAAGGATGGGGGAAGCCTGGAGACTGCAGCTGATGCTGCAGCCACAGCAATTTGCTGCATGGCAGCCTGGCAGGAACCCAGGGGATGTCCCAACAGTTCTCATGGGGCAGAACAGCTAGGCATGCAGCTTGTGTAGTTAACTTAATGTAACCCTTAGAGTGACCCTGAACATTTTTACAGACACATGCTTAGAACACTCAACCTGCGCACACACACAGAGACTGCTGTTCTTAACTGTAGCTGAATGTATTAGAAGACTGACTTATACTGCTGGCCTGAAGCTTGGGCAACTCTCCTACCACTATTGCCTGATATCAGGGTGTGGGTCGACCACAGGCTTCTTGTGAGCCGGATCCAGCTGGCAGCTCCAGCTTGGGCCCAGGACAAACAACTCTGCTCTGGCTCCTGCTTTGGGCTCTGTGCCAGAACTGAAGCAGCATGTTTCAGGACACTGTGGCTGTAGTGGCAGCCCCAGCATGGGGCAGTGGTGGGGCTGGCAGCCGAGGATATGGGGCCACAGCACCAGTGACAGTTGAAACAGCCCAAGGGCAACCAAAGCTGTATCCATCCTCATTTGGTCTCCTGTTCCTGATTGTCATGTCCCTGTCCCCGTCCCCTCCCCTGGCTTAAGGGCCCCAGATTCTACGGCAGGCTACACCCCCAACTTCTGGTGGCCCACCTGTAGGCTAGTAGGCCCGACTGAGCAGTTCTGTTAGATGGATCAGGCCTGTGAGTCCTAGGTTTGACACCCAAATGCCAAATAATAATATAATGGCCAAATGCCATTATATAATCACTTTACTTTTTCTTTCTTCTATTTTAGGATTGGGCGTCACTCCAAGTCGCTGGACACAGAGCGTTTTGTGTGTGCACACTGTAGGGGGCAGCTAGTCTTGTGTCAGTCCAGCAGGAAGGATGGTACTCCTGTGAGAACACAGCTAACTCCATTTGCAAAGTATGTGAAAGAAAACTATGGGTCTACCAAGAAAAAGCAGCATGCTTTGAGCCATACAGAGGTCATGCGGAAGCTAAGTGCTGACTTTGCTTCAAAGACCAGGCTTCTAGATTCCTAATTGTATCTGAGCTTTGTGCTTTCAATGTTACAGAAGTTTGTAGCATTAGAAAAAGCAGACGGGTCTAGTTGGCTGCAATTTAGTTTCTAATTTGGAAGGGTTGCATGCAGCAGGGATTCAATGAATTGTTGTTTTTTTTGTTGCTGTTTGTGTCCCAGCTTGTAAGGTGCTACAAAGTCTTTAAGGTCTGAGCTGGTTGCATTCCAAGAACAGGGTTCAAAATTACTGGTGGAAATAATTTCCTTGTCTACAGATTATATATTTATCTTTCCTTTATTTGGCAGAATTTTCCTCTAGGAAGGAGCAGGTTTTTTGCTCCTACTCAGCAGGAGTTCCTTGCACGATTCTCCTGTTTCACTCAGGTGGCTGTTAGTGAAACACTTCTGTCTCCTTAAGGTGTTAGGGGAAAGGTGATCTACCCAAGACGTGTTTGGACCTGCATCCATTGCTGTAGAATATTCTGGGAGGGGGGTGTGGATGCATCTGTTTAGTTAAGTGTTATTGTAACTGACCTCTAAACACCGGGATTTCATAGAGGGCCAATGATAGCTAAAGAGGGGGAAACTCATTTAGAACCTAAGTATTTTAACCCGGTTTGAGAGAGATTCTAGAACCATTTAACTTGGGCTGAGAGACGGGGAAGGTCTTAAACCTAGATCAAATATTTCAGTTACAGATTTGTGATATGTTTTTGGGGGGTTTTTTGTTTAACCAGTGTGTGTACTGTGAATAATTTGTCCAGGTGATTATATCAGTTTTGTAAGTTTTATTCAAGTATTAATAAAACAAAATTTGTATCATACTGATGGTTAAGGTTAATGAAATTAATTTATTTCTGAGTCCCAGTGCCCCTTTTCTCTTCTCTTCTGCTGCCCCTGGGTAGCCACCTTGTGTCCTGGGCGGGCTTAGGGGGTCCCCAAGGAGTATTTGCTTATGGACTTACGGTGAAACTGCTCTACAGAGCACCTTGCAAAGTGCTTCCAGGTCTGCAGGGGTGCAAGGTGTATGGGGTGAGGCACAGAGGTGAGGTGATGGCTCTGTGTTGCCCTTGGTGACCTCCCAGGAAGACACTTTGGGGGGGTCAAATAGGTCACAGGGCAGTACAACCATTCTTCTTCCATGCCTGAGCTTTATCCTACAGGGTTTGGGTGCAGGTTTCCCCCTGGGTGACATGAGCCAGGGTCAACTTTTATGGTAGTGTTGAGTTTTGAAATGCAAAGGAGCAGGGACCAGGATGCACGGGTGCCAGAGTCGGGCTATAAACCAGCTGAGTGTTGCACGCATGTTTGTGGCAGGGTCCTTGTTCGGGACAGGACACAGGGGGGGGGGCCGTCTGCTTCTGGCTTGGGGGGAGCAGCCTGGCGCCGGTGGGATGCTTTACTTCCCCTGACCCGCAGCCCTCCGCCTCCGTTTGTTTTGTGCTGCCCTCATTCCTGACCCGCAGCCCCCGGCTCCCTGTTCTCGCCCCCACGGAAAAAGTCAGACCCCGGCGCGAGTCCCGTGAGCGAACGGGGGACCCGGGGCTGGGGGCGCGTCCTGGGGAGCGCAGCAGGGCCGGGATCAGAGGCGCGTGTTCCCGTTGGCCGCCTTGACGCGAGCAGCGATTGGCTGGAAGGGCTGCATGGGCGGGGTCGGGGAGACCACCCTTTCTCTGAGCGGCCTCTGCCGCCTGAGGCTAGTCTAGGAGGAAGCCACCGCCTCCTCAGGCACGCTGGCTGTTGGGATTGGTGCGAAGGGTGCACCGCTCTGCGTGCTGATTGGTTCGACTCCGGCAAAGCGCGGAGCTAAGAGGGGGGCGGCGCCTGAAACCCGCGTGCGCTGCTTCTGGCCTGAGGTGTATCGTTGTTAGCAAGATTTGCGCGGTGTTTCCCTGTTTTAAAGAGAGAAAAAGGTTGCTGTTCAGTAAGAACTGCAAGACATCCGTTGTAGTGGAGAGTAGGGGATCCTTGCTTTAAAATAAGTGCCGGTCTTATTCGGAGTCCACGTCCTTGTCACTACAGAAATGTATGTAGGAGGGATGCGTGTGCAGATGTGTATACAGTGCATGTGCTGCGTGAGAGCGATTTCCCCGCTCCCGGCCGTTGTGATCCAGCTGCAGGGACAGGAGGAGCCGCTTCTGTCCCTGCCCCTGGCTGCAATGCGCGGCGTGACCACAGGAGGGCAGCACTGAGCTTTCTAAGGCACGTGGCGTGGCGGGGGGCGTTGTGCGCGGTGCCTCAGCCCGGCCGGTGCTGCCGGGCCACTGCTCCGCGCCGCCGGCCCGTGGTCCCGCTGCTCGCCCCCGCCCGCGCGGAGTGGCCGCCTCGTTCCGCGCGGGAGGGCCCGGGGTTGTGGGGACGTGGAGCTGTGCGGGCACGCGGCGGTGTCTGCATGGAAATCCCCCCGTTTTGGCTGGTGAGTCGGGAACCTCTTTGCTGGCAGTGTGAGATTTTTTGGGGTGGGAAGGTGGTCATTTAGTCTCGTGATTTGGAGGCATTTATCTGGAAATATTTGGGGAAATACGGTGACATTGGGAGAAATCTGTGGGGATTTGGGATCTTTATTTGGAAATGTGTGGAAATGTGATTTTTGGGAGGGGAATTGGTAACTGTGTGTGGTGATATAGTGCCTTTTTTTCCGAAACGGTGATTTTTGTGTGGGAGGTGTTGGTGGAAATACGTTCGGAGATATGGTGATTTTGTGTGTGGAAACGGTGTGGTAATTTTAGGGTGATTTGGGAACGTTTTGTGTAACTGGTGTGTTGTGGGATGCGGGGAATATTTTGTGTTCGTTGGGTAAGAGTGTGGAAATATGCTTGTGTTGTGAGAGGGAAATGGTGTGGGGATTTTCAGAGCTCATTTGTGGGCACGTGTGCGCCTGTGTTTGGGTACATGGTGGTTTTTGGGTGGAAAACTGGCCATTTTGTGAGGCTCCTGCTCCACAGCACCCACCCACGATGAGCGCTGGCAGCGGTCCTCGCAGTCGCTGGGCCGTTCTTGCTGCAGCCACCTGGAGCCTGCGCCCAAATAGCCCTGCCGCCACCACCACTGCCATGTCCAGGCTGTTTCCCGGGGCAGCGGCAGCAGTGCAGAGGAGATGCAGGGCAGCCTGGGCGTGGGCTCTGAGCGGCTGCAGCAAAAAAGGGTCCCGCAGCGGTGCAGGGGTGGAACAGCTTTTCCTTTTCACCGAGCAGCAGCTTCTGCTCAGCTGCCACCGCTGGTGCCATTGCTCAGCGTGGGCGGGCGAGTCCAGAGCAGGGTCGGGGCTGTGCACGTGGGTTCTGGCTGGTCCGCTCCCCTGGGCTGAGTCCAGACCTGGGGCGGGCCGGGATCGGGGCTGCGCGCACGGGAACTGCCAGTAGCACGGTGCTGGGCCAGTGGCAGTGACAGCTGGAAGGAGCCACCTCTGTCCCGGCTGCCTAGAAGGGCAATCCAGCCACAGCCCTGCTGTGTTCCCAGGGATGGCAGGATGTGCCACAGGCTGGACAGCGCCTGGGCTAGGCGGGACCGAGGAACAGACAACATCCCTCCACATGCTGGATCTGGCCCGTGGGCAGTATTTTGCACACCCCTTGTGTAAGCGGGTGCATACGTTACACCCAGGATGGCTCTGGAGAAGTAGAAGATAAGCCAAAGCAAGTTCTTCCAAAAATGTACACTGGTCTATGGGGATATTAGTAGTCGGGCACTTTTGCCAAGAGCAGCCACATACAGCAAGGAATACATGGGCATACACAGTACCGGGTGGGAAGGTGCCACGGCCCCTTGCAATCTGTCCTTCAGGTTTGAGGTCAGTCCCAGAATCCTGCATCTCTACCCTTTTGTGTGGCGATTTTGTAGCCGTCAGGTTCAAATGTTTGTATTCCAACCTGTTTCTCTGAGGTAGGGAGCTCTTGGCCAATAGAGTGGAGAGCAGGGAAACGGTCAAGGCCTGGGACCATTCTTCTTTCCTGAGGTCACCTTGTCAGCATTGTGTGCGATTACTGGCCTATACATCTCAGCTCCCTCAAAACTTCTCTCACATGCTACTCGTGGCGCTTCAGACTGAACTGCTTCTGGGATCAGAGTATTGGGAGGGAGGAGTTACGTTGTGTAATGTGGCGTAGCAGAAAAAAGGTGAGGAGTGTTCAGGACTCCCTAAGAATCCTCATCTTGCACTCAAGCAGACGCTTGGTACTTCAGCGGTGACAGAATGTGGTTCTGCACCGAGGGGCCTCGTTTGTCCGCTAAGTGTAATCATGCCAGATAAAAATTCCCACGTATTTTTCTGAGAGTATGAATGGGGAAGGAATACCTTTTTTTTTTTTACCTTTTAGCCAGTAGCAGTAAGTTTCAGCCCGGATTTCCTTGGCTGATCTCATCGTATCCAGTGGCACATTTGTGGCTGTGACAGCACCAAGTCCGCCCCGTCACAGAACTCCAGGGGAGTGAAGGAAAACAGAAAACTTACCTTAGCAACCAGCCCCAGGAGAGAAAGGGGCGGGGAAACTGGGATGGAGGCGGAGATGTAAATATAAACAAAGGCAGCATGTGCTGTGAGAGAGTTAGCAGACAGCCTGAAAGATTTAAAAGGGAAGTAACCCAGAATTAGCTCTGGAAAAGAGAAGAAAGCAACCCAGAAGAACTTGGGAGAGACTACAAGAGATAGATAACAGACGGCAGGGAGAAGGGAAAGTAAGAAGGGTCCTGGAGAGACTTACCTTGGAAGCTGAAGTGAGGTAACGAAGGAGACCTCTGAGTTGGTGAGTAACATTCCAGAGACTTAACAAAATAAAAGTGTCACAACCCAAGGGTGTGATTTTGTTTGTGCGCGCTTTGGCACTGCTAAATTATTTCCCGCCACTAGGAGCTTTCTTTGCAGGGTGCATTTCTTAGTTGCAAAGAGAAATGCACGGTGCAAAGGACGGTTTCCGCCCAAGTTGGAGAACTCCGAGGAGAACCCCGCAAGGGAGGACTCCACAACCATCTGGAGGAGGAGAACTTCACGTCTCGTGAAGATCTCTAAGCGCTGCGGAGCCTATCGAACCCAGCGCAGGCTGTAGGGGTCTGATCAACCTCTGGCCTCTCCCCGTCGCCGAACGATCCCTCGACGAACCCCTTCCCTGCACGCAAGTTCCACGGAGCCTAGCAAACTTCGTGTGAGTGTATCCAGAGCTCTCTGCTTCGAGTTGTTGTCTTCGGTTGACGCGACGGGCTCGCGTGTTTAGAGCCTTCAGCCGGATTGGGCTAGAGGTTCGCGTGGAAGGAACTCTTGTCCGCCTCTCTTCTTTTCTGTCTGTAACCGCAACCCAAACAAGTTTTCCTGCCTGCACCGCGACCATCTTCGGTGTAAGTAAAATAATCTTTAATCAACCGCTAAGCGTCCGTGCCTAATTCTAGCCCGCCGGCCTGCATTCCCCGACCCGGCGTGTCCGGGCTGCTAGCCACAGCCCGCCGCGCACAGGCCCCCGAGGGCCTCGGACCGCTCCCGGCCCGCACAAAGAGAAAGGAATGAGAGTGTATGAAGATTAACAAAGAGAAGAGAACCCCACATTTTGATATCAGTAATGAATACAAGGTGGCATAGAATTGCCGTTTGCTTGGGACCCGTGCGTAGGAGAACGGGACAAGCAACCAAGACATTGAGAGCTCTCAAAGAGAGGGGGAACTAAATATATCTAAAATGTTAGTTATCTAAGAAAGACATAATAGTTGTGCAGAAGAGTTATTTTTGTTGAACCCCAGACACGATATCTTCATCTCTCAGGACTGTGTTTATTTCCTTACCTTATTCCATCAAAGTCATGGCGGGTGAGAAATAGAGGAAATTAA